CGAATGAGCAGAGTGAAGCAGAACAGTTTGTGCTGTTTCCGCCTTCTGCGTTGCCAGGTTGCGCGGAGAATCAAGTTGTCGCAGAAGTCCGCGCTGCCCCCTTTGCGAGCACACGTACACGAATAGATCCCCCGCCCCCGCATGAGACGGCCAGAGGACACGAGCGGAGTGACTAGAATAGTACATACAGTCTCCGCCAGCTGCGCTGCCAGGTAACGAAGGGAATAGGCTTGATCATTTCCGCACGCACGCGTCACCGTGCGACGAATTATATAGAATAGTTGTTGCGTCTGCCCCCCGCGCTGCAACCTGGCGAATCCACCCCCTTGCGATGCCATATGACGAGTATGATCAGACCGTCTCTGCTTCGCCCCTCTCTGCGCTGCCCATCTTCGTCGCCGTCGACCTCGTCGTTGTTCCCGTCGTGAAGGCTCGTTGTGTAGATCGCACGCAATGTTGTCCCGCGCGCTCCGCCCGCCCTGCTCGTTGGGGCCCGCCCGCCCGATCCGCCCGACCAGCCCGTTAGAGTTGTCGTCCCCGCCGTCGCCTTCAACGTCGTCGCTGTTGCCGTCGTTGTCGTCGTCGTCGTCGTCCTTGTCGTCGTCATCGTCGGCGTCGTCGTTGCCCTCGTCGTCATCCTCGTCATCTCCGCCGCCCTCACCGTCGCCGTCGTGATTGTCGTCGCCTTCGTCGTCGTCGGCGACGCCGTCGCCCTCGTCGTCGCAACCCTCATTGGTGTTATGTTGCCTGGATTGCACGCTACTATAATGTCCTGCCCGACCTGTCCCTCCCACCCGACCCGACCCGCCCGCCCGACCCGCCCATAGGGTCCGCCCGCCCGACCCCCCCCCCCCGCACGACCTGCCCGTCACGGTCCACCCGTCACGGTCCGCCCATCCGACGCGCCTTTTAGGATTAGCGTCGCAATCGTCGCCCTCCTCAGTGCTGCCGTCGTCGCAGTCCTCATGGTTGCCTCGTCGTCGTCGTCGTTCTCCTCGTTGCCGTCCTCTTTCTCATCGTTTTCGTCGCTCTCGTCGTCGTCGTCGTCGTCGTCGGTGTCGTTGTCGTTGTCGTCGCCGTCGTCGTCGTCGTCGTCGCCATTCTCGCCCTCGTCGTCGACGACGCCCGTGGATGCCCACCTGACTGGACTGCGCAATACTTGCAATACTTGAATGCCATGCCCGATCCGACCCGCCGGCCCGACCGTCCCGTTATTGGTCGACCCGCTCGAAGCACCCATTGGGATCTGGCCGCCCGACCCGCCCGTTAGGCTGGTGGCCATCGCCGCCATGATCGCCGTGTTCCTCGTCGTTGCTGTCGTCGCCTTCGTGGATGTCCTGCTGGAAATATTACCCTCTGCTTTGATGTCCTGCCCGATCCGCCCGCTGGGGCCAACCCGTCAGACCACCCTTCCGCTCCGACCAACCCGCTCGGGCCCGCCCGCCCGACACGCCTGCCGGGGTCCCCCCGCCCAACCCGCCCGCCCGACCCACCCATGAAGCTCCGCGCCCGCCCGACCCGACCGTCAGGGTGTCGCAGCAGTCGTCGCCTTCACTGCCCTCGTCGTCGGCGTCGTTGTTCTCGTCGCCGTCGTCGTCGACGTCGTCCTCTTCCTCCTACTCCTCCCCCTCCTCCTCGTCATCCTCGCCGTCCTCGTCGTCGTTCTCGACCTCGTCGTCTTCGTCGCCCTCGTCTTCGTCGTTATCGTCGCCGTGTTCGTCATCGCCCTCGCGGATGTCCTGCTGGCTGGATTGCACGCTACTTGAATGCTCCATCCGACCCTGCCCGGTAGGGAAGCCCGTAGGGAAGCCCGCCCAACCCGCCAACCCGAACCGCCAGGTGGACTCCGCCCGCCCGTCGAAGTCGTCGCCAACCCGCCCAACCCGCCCACTAGGGCCCCCACCCGCCCGACCCGCCTTTTAGAACCCGCCAGCCCGACTCGCCCGTCGGGATCGGCGTCGCGATCGTCGCCCTCATAGTCGCCGTCGTCGTCGCCCTCCTCGCCACCATCGTTATCGTCCTCGTCGTCGTCAACCTCGTTGTCGTCGTTGTCCTCCTCGTCATCCTTGTCGTCGTCCTCCTCCTCCTCCTCCTCCTCCTCGTCTCTGTCGCCCTCGTTGTCATCGGCTTCATCTTTGTCGTCCCTCTCGTCGTCGTCCTCCTCCTCCTCCTCCTCCTCCTCCTCCTCCTTCTCGTCATCGTCGCCTTCGTCGTCGTCGCCCTCGTGCACGTCCTGCTGGCTGTGTTGTACGCTACTTTCATGCCCCACCTGACCCGACCCGACCACCTGGTAGCGTCTGCCCGCACGTTCCGCCCGCGATAGACCGCCCGCCCGAACCGGCTCGTCAGGGTGTCATCGTCGTCGTCGTCGTCGCCGGAGTCGGAATCAGAGTCGTCGTCGGAGTCGGAGACGGAGCCGGAGTCGTCGTCCATGTGGCGGGCTGGCGGGCGGGCCGGCGGGCGGGCGAACGGGCAAGCGGGCGCGCGGGCGGGAGGGCGGGCGACTGGCCGACAAACCAACCAACCAACCAGCCAACCAACCAACCAACCCATCAAATCACCAACCAACTGGTCCACCGACCGACCAGCGAACCACTGGCCAACCAACCACTCAATCAGCCAATCAACCAACCGGCCTATCAACCAGTCAACGCACCAACCAGCTGGCCAGCCAACCAGCCAGCCAGCCAGCACTGTCCGAGTACGTCTCATACGGCGGGGCGCCTGGATCGTCGATCTTGTAACGCGCAGAGCGAGACCCGTCTCACACCCTGAACCACTGAAGGGGCCCTGGGACACACGAACAAATACACACAAATTACCCAGTGACGTACCCAACCCATTTGTATCAATGGACACGAGGAGTTGGCCGAAACTTGTATGGACAATCAACTTGATGTGTAAGCTACTTGGGAGGCGTCACTGTGCTGGGCCCCGCAAGCAGGCCTCGAAAGTGGCGACAGTTTCACATATCGCAGCCCCCCAGGGATGGCGAGGTCTAATTTGAATCTGCGTGTGGCGTCACTGTGCTGGGCCCCCCAGCAGGCCTCGAAAGTGGCGACAGTTTCACAGATCGCAGCCCCCCAGGGATGGCGAGGTACAATTTCAATCCGCCGTGTGTACCCACTGTGCTGGGCCCCCCAGCAGGCCTCGAAAGTGGCGACAGTTTCACAGATCGCAGCCCCCCAGGAATGGCGAGGTCTAATTTGGATCTGCCGCGATTACCCTCTATGCTGGGCCCCCCAGCAGGGCTCGAAAGTGGCGACAGTTTCACAGATCGCAGCCCCCCAGGGATGGCGAGGTCTAATTTGAATCCGCCGCGATTACCCTCTATGCAGGACCCCCCAGCAGGCCTCGAAAGTGGCGACAGTTTCACAGATCGCAGCCCCCCAGGGATGGCGAGGTCTAATTGGAGTCCGCGGTGTGTACCCACTGTGCTGGGCCCCCAGCAGGCATCGAAAGTGGCGACAGTTTCACAGATCGCAGCCCCCCAGGGATGGCGAGGTCTAATTTGAGTCCGCGGTGTGTACCCACTGTGCTGGGCCCCCCAGCAGGCCTCGATAGTGGCGACAGTTTCACAGATCGCAGCCCCCCAGGGATGGCGAGGTCTAATTTCAGTCCGCGGTGTGTACCCACTGTGCTGGGCCCCCCAGCAGGCCTCAAAAGTGGCGACAGTTTCACAGATCGCAGCCCCCCCAGGGATGGCGAGGTCCCATTTGAGTCCGCCGTGGGTACCCACTGTGCTGGCCCCCCCAGCAGCCCTCGAAAGTGGCGACAGTTTCACAGATCGCAGCCCCCCAGGGATGGCGAGGTCTAATCTGAGTCCCCGTAGGGCGTCACTCCGCTGGGCCCCCCAGCAGCCCTCGAAAGTGGCGACAGTTTCGCAGATGGCAGCCCCCCAGGGATGGCGAGGTCTAATCTGAGTCACCGTAGGGCGTCACTCCGCTGGGCCCCCCAGCAGCCCTCGACAGTGGCGACAGTTTCACAGACCGTAGCCCCCCAGAGATGGCGAGGTCTAATCTGAGTCCCCGTAGGGCGCCACTCCGCTAGGCACCCCAGCAGCCCTCGAAAGTGGCGACAGTTTCACAGATCGCAGCCCCCCAGGGATGGCGAGGTCTAATCTGAGCTCTCGTAGGCTCACTCCGCTGGACCCTGGAACCCCAGAGCCTGGAAAGTGGTGACAGTTCGCAGTTCGCGCCCACAGGGATGGCGAGGTCTACTCTGAGTCCCCGTAGGGCGTCCACTCCGCTGGGCCCGGCCAGGCCTCGAAAGTGGCGACAGTTTCACAGATCGCAGCACCCCAGGGATGGCGAGGTCTAATTTGGATCTGCCGCGGTTACCCTCTATGCAGGACCCCCCAGCAGGCCTCGAAAGTGGCGACAGTTTCACAGATCGCAGCCCCCCAGGGATGGCGAGGTCTAATATGTATCCCCGTAGGGCGTCACTCCGCTGGGCCCCCCACGCAGCCTTCGAAAGTGGCGACAGTTTCACAGATCGCAGCCCCCCAGGGATGGCGAGGTCTAATCTGAATCCCCGTAGGGCGTCACTCCGCTGGGCCCCCCAGCAGCCCTCGAAAGTGTCGACAGTCTCGCAGATCGCCGCCCCCCAGGGATGGCGGGAGGAGGAGGAGAAGGAGGCGGGAAGGAAGGAAGGAAGGAAGGAAGGAAGGAAGGAAGGAAGGAAGGTGGAGACCGCAGTGCTCTATTCAAAACGAGTACCCAACGCAGGAGGGTTGGGAAAAAGCCGAAGTCGGGTTCGAATAAGCCCGATAAAATACTCATGAGAAGGATGGGAAGAAGACGAACTACGGGAAAAATGAGAGTAGCAACAAGAAAGCGAAGAAGACAAAGAACACGAAGAACAAGGAAGCGCAGAAAGAATAATCAGACTAATGGGGCGGGGGCGGGAGAGATCCCCTGCCCCGCGGGCCGCCCCGCCACCGCCCTCCTCCAGACCCCGCGTTCCCGCGGGCGCCGACACCCTGGCCCACCGCTCCCCTCCCGCAGCAACTCCGGGCTCGGGTGGTTGGACCATAGCAGCAGCCACCTTGCGGACGGGCGGGCCACGGCGGGCGCGTCGCAAGCACCGGGATGCCTTCTCACGGCATGGACCCCGAGCGGCTTGGATCCGTCAGCGAGCCAACCTGGGCCAACGATGCGGGAGCATGGAGACTGGCTTCGTTTCCACACTCCTGCGTGGGGTTCTCGTCTTGAACAAGCCACCGCGATCGCCAGGCCGTTTCCCGCCTCCCGCCGCCTCCTCCTCTTGCCTCCTGCCTCGCCGCCTTACCTGGGGGCTCGATGGGAACTGCGAAACTGCCTCCACGTGCGAGGGCTGGGCTGCTGGGGGGGACCAGAATAGCGGGTACCACGCACTGATTCTGACCAGACCTCACCATTATGGGAAAGACTGCGAACTGCGAAGCCGTCTTCATTTTCGAGGGCAGCCTAATGGGTACCTGGCGCAGATCCACGCGAGACCTCGCCAGCCCTGGGGGGGGAACGAACTGCGAAACTGTCGCCACCTTCTGCGGGGGGGACCAACATGGTGGGCACCGGGCGCTGCTTCAAAACTGCGAACCAGCCGTCACTTTCGAAGGCTGCTAGGGGGCCAACATAATGGATACCAAACGCAGATTCGGGATAGACCTCTCCATCTTTTGGAGGCTACTAGCAGCAAAACTGTCGCCACCTTCGAAAGCCGTAAAGGGGGCAAGCATAGTGGGTACCGGGCGCTGATTCGAACTAGACCTCGCCAGCCATGGCGTGTGCGAACTGCGAAACTGTCGCCATTTGCGAGGGTTAGTGGAGGGCAACATAGTGGGTACCAAGCGTAGATTCTGACTAGACCTCTCAATCGCTGGGGTGTGGGGGGGAGGGGGGGGGGATTGCGAAACTGTCGCCATTCTAAATGGCTGTAAACGGGGCCAGCATACTGAATACCAGGCGCAGGTTCAGAGTACACCTTGCCAGCCTTGGGGAGGTGCAAACTGCGAAAGTGTCGCAATTTTCGAAGGCTGTTGGGGGGGCAGCATAGTGGGCACCAGGGGTAGACCTCCGCCTCCTCCTCTTCCTCCTCCTCCTCCATTCCTTCTCCTTATAAACAACTCCTCTCTGTCGCACCCCGTGGCCAGTTTTTAGGGCGGGCCAGGCGTTTCGCCTGAGACACCCCTACCATTTATGACCCTGAAGCTTGAAAAGTGACAACGGCTTTACAGATGGAGGGCGGGTCCTTCTCAAAATTGTGGCTCTCGCCTTACCGCCGCGCTCACCCTTGCTAAACACTTGCAAGAGCTTCACGGATTGAAGATGGGTGGTTTGCAAAATGTGGCTCTCGCCATAACGCCGCGCACATTCGTTTTAAGAATTTACAAGGGCTTCACGGATTGAGGGCCGGTGGTTTTCAAAATGTGGCTCTCGCGTAGCGCCGCGCACATTCGTCATCTTTAATGCGCGAGAACTTCACGGATTGAGGGCGGTTCCGTTTCAAAATGTGGCACTCGCCTTGGCGCCGCGCACATGTCTTAAAACATGTGCAAGAGTTTCACGAATCGAGGGCGGGTGGTTTTCAAAATGAATGTGGCTCTCGCCGTAGCGCCGCGCACATTCGTTTTTAAGAGATTGCATGAGCTTCACGGATTGAGGGCGGGTGGTTTTCAAAATGTGGCTCTCGCCGTAGCGCCGCGCACATTCGTCATTTTAACATTGCATGAGTTTCACGGATTGAGGGCGGTTCCTTTTCAAAATGTGGCTCTCGCCTTAGCGCCGCGCACATTCGTTTTAAATTTTGCAAGAGCTTCGTTGCTTCCCATGGTCAACGTACCAGAATCTGCGCTTTGGAAACATTCACGACTATACTGGCACAACAGTTGTGTTGACTCGCTGTGTTGATGTCCCAAACATGGCGTTCTGGCACGATTCTGGATCGTCAAGGCGCAGCAGTCAGGTGGATACGTGGCGTTGAAATCACGAGAACAGCATTTTGGCTCGCTTCAGGATCTTCAAACTGTTGTCTTCCAACAAGGCAGAACCCTCAGTGGAAATGAACCGTTGTACGGGCCTATGAAGAGGGAGCGTGGTGGGAGGGTAAATTCAAACATCGTTGATGACTCTTGGGTTTCCACTGGTCCTCCTCCTCCTCCTCCTCCTCCTCCTCGTACTCCCTCCCCCCCCCTACCGCCCCCTCTCCTCCTCCCTCCCCTCTCCTCCTCCTCCGCCGTCCTCCTCCTTTCCCTCTCCTCCTCTAACTCCTCCTCCTCTCCTCCTCCCCCCTCTCCCTCCCTCCGTTCCCCTCCCTCCTCCCTTCCCCTCATTGCTTCCTCCTCCTCGTCCTCCTCCTCCTCCTCCTCCTCCTCCTCCTCCTCCTCCTCCACATCCTCGTCCATCCTCGCATTCCCCCGCACTATTATTCTCCTCTTTCACAGCACCTTTCTCATCCCTCGTCACCCCAGCGTCCTGCCCCTTCCTGCCCAATGCCTCAGTCGTCCTTCATCCCATCTCTGTCCTTCCCCTTCCGTCGCAATCCTTCTGCTCCTCGGGCTACTGCCGCTGACTTCAATCCCCCAGCCCGCGCCGAAAGGACATGTCACGCCTGTTGCCATCTGCCTTGACGCGGTAGAGGCCACCCTGACGCAGGATGTTAATGACGGCGTTGTACTCGTGGACTGCGTCCGTGTGGCTGTAAAAGAGCCTCGCTCGGGTGGAGACTGCGCAGCGCGCTGTGCAAAAACCGCGACGTCGTTCCTGACACCTCTCTATCTCTCTCTCTTTCTCTCTCTCTCTCTCCAACCGCGCCCAGCCGTGGCGAAGGGGGGAGGACCGAGGGGGCATGGGCCTTTCGCTGCAGGCCGCGTGAGGCGCTTCCGCCCAAAGGGGGGGCGACAAACCCAGAATCGAACAAGTCGCATCGGCGATCGAAACAAATCGGATCTGCGGAAATCTGCAGCCGAGTCGGGAACAGTCGAGTCGGCGGAAAATGGCAGGCCAGTATGCCTCCAATGAGACGTCGGAGCCCACATCGGATTCCAAAGTCGAATCGAATCGGGATCGGAGGACATCGAAGTCGAAAACCGAATCGAATCGGAGGAATCGAGAGAGAAAAGAAATGGCGGGCCGGCAGCATGATGCATCCTGGGGTACCGGAGACGGACGGGGGCTCTCCGAGGCGAGGGTTTCATGCGGCAGGACGAGAAGGGGAGAGGGGGGGAGCACAGGGAAAGGCAGGAGTGACCGGGAAGGCCACAGGAGCCCGAGGAGGACAAGAGGGGGAGGAGGGAGGGAGGAGGAGGAGGAGGAGGAGGAGGAGGAGGAGGAGGAGACGGGAGGAGGACGAGGAGGAGGAGGAGGAGGAGGAGACAGAAGAGGAGGAGGAGGCACCACCGCCACCCCACTGGTGGTGAGGCTTCAGGGAAGCTCCCCGGGGACCTCTCCGGCGATCTGTTCTTGTTCGGCGGCGGGCGAGGGGGGGAAGTGAGGAGGAGAAGGCCTTCTACAGAGGAGCCGGTGGAATCCTCCAAAGGAGGGGTGCTCGGGTTGCGGTTATGGGGGCGCGGGGGCGGCCGGCGGGTGTTTTGGTTCCGGTGGTTTTTCAGACCCGGCACCAGGGAACGGCCAACCAGCCCCCCACACAGGACAGCCCACTTCTTTAGAGGAGGAAGGCTGGGGAGTGGTCCAGAAGGACGAATGACCTCCTGATACCTCAAACAGCAATAATCGAACATCCGCCTCAAGCTGGCCAGAAGCCGAGTCCTCCTCCCCGCCTCTCCCTCCCCGCTCCTATCCCCTCCCTTCCTTCATCCCCCCGCCTCTAGTCCTCACCTCCTCCTACTCTTGCTCCCTGCTTGCCTGCCTCCTGTTCCTGCTCCTCCTCCCCTCCCCCTCATACCTCCCCCCCCCTCATCCTTCTCCTCTCCCTCCTCCGCACCTACTCCTCCTCCTCTTGCCTCCTCCTTTCCTCCTGCTCTCCTCCTCGTCCCCTCATCCTCCGACCCTCCTCCTTCCTCCTGCTCCTGCTCCTAGTTCCTGTCTCTCCTCTCCTCCTCCTCCTCCCTCTTCTCCTTCTCCTCCTATCTCCTCTCTCCTCGCGGCATCCCAAAGCTCCAACTCACTGGTCTCGTCCTCCTCCTCCTCCTCCTCCAACCTCCTCATCCTCCTCCTCCTCCCCCTCCTCCTCCTCCCTCCCTCCCTCGTGTTTCCTTTGAGAATCGGGATAAGATGCCAAAGGAATTAAGATCTCACGCTCACTCTGCTCAGGGAGAGAGGGGACGGGAAGAGACATCGATAAGACAAATATCCGTTAAGCAAGATTACTATATCAGGAATGTGTAGTGAGGAGGCCGGCTGGCCTACGACCGACGACGCGCGACGGCCGAGGGCTGGCGCGCTCCTTTTCTCTCCAACAAGCAACCAGAAGTTTGCTTGAGTAATCAAATAGAGCTGCGGAACGCAGCGCAAGTTCAAGGCAGGCAGCGAACAGCATGCAAATAGATTAATAAGTGATAAAATTATGAGGCGGAGAGGAGCATATTTACGCCCCCCGCGGCGGGCCTCGTAGAGCCCATCCGGCCACAGCACCCCCAGCCTATACATATACACAACCAACGGAGCCAACCCCAAAAACTTTTACGGCTCAACGGTGGCCGCCAGGGGGCCAAGGGCCGAAGAGGCCCGACGATTCCCACCATCACTTAAATAAATTCTCTCCGCTGGACTGGTTTAGCTGTCCAGAAGAGGCGATTGCCCATCCAACACGCGTAGCGCGCGTGGATGGGAACTTTCTTGCATGCGCCTGCCGCGACTAAGTCACGCGGGCGGAACTCAGCGCAGGTCCTCCCACGGGCTCTCCTCTTCCACGGGCGGCTCCGGAGGCGGCGGGTTTGACGACGCCGCACCTCCAGTATGTCCGTCTCCGCCGCGAGGCGAGCGGGACCGCCCTTGATCTGCAGTACTGTAATTATTCTCCCTGTTCTCGGATGTTTTCCCCTTAGATGGGAAGCGAGTGTCATGTTCCAAATTAGATAGTATGCCAGCAATCCAGCGTCCACCACTCCTCGTCGGACAGCCACGTGACCTGGTCTTTGTGGACGTAGTACCCGACATGAACATTGTTCACATAGCGCGGGTAGGACACGAGCGGGTCGTAGTCGTAGCCAGCAGCGCCGCGGCCAGCGCCCATGGCCCCATCGCGCGCGCGCCGGGGCACCGACCGATCCCAAGTGTTGAGATACCATGAGTATTCCTCTCTAGTCGTCACGGCTGAGCCGGCGACGGATCGCGGGGATTCGGTGGCGCCATCGGGAACCCGAGCGTCTGGTACGTCGGGTCTGAGTAGCGGAGGTGGCGTCACCGGTCTGGCCTTCACCTCATCCTGCGCCCGTCTTGGCCCCGCGAGGTCGGCTTGGCCGTCGCGGCGTTGATTGTCGTTTTTACGATCTGGCAAAAATTTTAACAAGCTCCTAGCAGCAGTAGCTACTGGGATGCTATATATTCAGCAAGCAGTGCGGAAGATTCCTGTGTCTATATCTTGGAGCTCTGTCCCAGGGTCAATATCTGTCCTGGAACAGAAATGGCTTCTTGTATCTGAGGACCATTGCAACGCGCGTCAGTCTGCACCTTCCTGCCCACATTACGGGCCCATTCCTTTATTATGTCGTCCGTCTGAACGGCGGCGCGAATGCGGCAGTCGAGGGCAGATTCATCTTTCCGTCGCATCTTAGTAATGGGGTTCGTGTTTTCTTCTTCGGGACGAGTTACTCGCCCCGGGAAGCCGATGCGATATCCCTCTGAGATGAAAGACCTCATGATCTCGCGGACGATCGCAAGGATTCTCATGGGCCGATGGCCCAATTGCATCTGCTGTACGGAGGCCAACCAAATTCCATCAACTATTTCTTTGATAATTGGTGGGACCTCATGTTCCACTTCACCACGTAGCAGCATCCTGCCGGGACTACTCGGGCGTCTGCCAGTGCATTCGATAACCTATTGGGCTGCAATCGCCCGAGCTTCTATGCCGCACAGAGTTACTCGTACCGAAGGATCATCGCAGTGGTTGTATACATATCTGTCTGATTGCCGAGAAGTCCATTCCCATTTGTGATTGTTCGCCTGCTCTCGCGGCTTCGCCGGTAGCAGGTAGCAATGCCGGTATTATGAGGCGATGATCCCGACATTCGTTGATCCTTCTTGTCAGGGACTGAGATCTGCGAGTCGTCCTCGCCTGGAAATTGTTCCCCCCGACGATCGGCAATCGCCCGCGAGGGCTTTGCCCTCTGGGGTCTTCTTCTACGTCCTCCACGATTTCTTCGTTCTGCGCAGGAAACCACGGCGTCCCGAAGGTCGTTGCTGCATCAATGGTTTGAAGCGTCGGGGCGAAGATATTCGCTCTAGTCATGTCGCTGTGCCATCTTCCCCGGCCTCTCAGGGGTTCGACTAAGTCGCCCCGTTCGTTCGGCCGGTCGAAGGCGACGAGAGCTGGGCAAGATATTGGGCGAGCATATTGGTCAATACTCGTCTTCCATAGCTGCGGCCACCAGGCATTGATCGCAGAGGTCCGCCTACTCACCCTTTTGGCTGAGTATTCAAGCCATCCGATGAACCTCCTGACCAAGGGCCGCAAATACTGAAAGAAAGGGCCGCGACGCGCCGGCGGCTGAGCCATGGCGTTCTCTGGCACCCAAACGGGGAAATTGCCTGGCAGACTGTTGCCAAATATCTGGCCTGCTGCCGCCATTTTAGTAGATTCCCCATTAGCCCATTTTCGCTCCTGCTGATGATCACTGCTGATGCTCTTCATCACAAGTGCGGAAGCGTTCTGTTGTCTACCCCCGCGCACTTTGATCCATCGAGGACAGGTAATCATGTGTGAGACAGGTAATCATGTGTGACTTTATGCTTGCATTTGATCCGGCAGCTGCAGACAGGGCAATGTCCGAAACCCGTTCGCACCCAGTGATAGCGGAAGCACAGGAACCTTCCGTCGTCTTCCCATGGGATGGACAGAACCCGTTCCTGCATTTCGGGCGACAGCTGTGGTCGCCGATTCCAAGCCAACAACAGAGTCTCGTCTGTGTGGATCCAAGCAATAATCGACTCATTGTCGAAAGTCACTTCGTACGAGGCCCATTCGCGATTGAAAAGTACCGACCAGCGCATCTGGTCCGTTTGTCTCACAAGAGAGACGGCTTTGTCAATGTCAATGAAGTTCGGCATCTCTCGGGACACCAGAGTCCCGTCTGGACAAATTCTATATGAGAAGCGAGCAAGCACTCGGCCTGTGAAAACAAGAACAAGCTCCCAAGACTCGCGGTGGTTGGGAAGCTCTTCCCATAGGTGGGTGGTGCCGTCTGCGTGCCAAGTCCCCACCGAAGGCGTTTCCCCTGGCAGTGCCGCATTTCCCATGGGCAGAAAACTCCCCGCAGGGAGGGGCTCTCCGTACCTCCGCTGGCTGAGCCACGGAGAGATACGAGTTAGATCAGGCATGGTTGGGCTCCTCTTCGTCGGAAGCAGCCTCAGCAAATCATAGTCTGCCTCACGACGGAGCCCCGAGTCTCTCTTCGGAAGACGGAATCTTCCATCCGTAGATTCCAAAAATGTCTGCAAGTCCGCGATATGGAGAAGAGATCCATGACTCCTGACTTGGCCAGGGTCATATCATACATCCTTTCAATAGAAGCAACAAATGTCGAATGT